CGGCGTTCGATCGCGACGGTTTCAGTAGCTTATCCTATAGTTCTACGCGCTTGTAGTTGGCACGTATTGTATTATTTGCTATGCTTCGTGCTCGCGTTCGCTTGGTAAACGGCCGGGGTGCTATAATGTAGCGCGCCGGACGTTACAGTTGGAATATTTGAATTAACGCTATGTTTGAATTTTTTTTTTCTCTATTTTGGAGCACTAAAATCCTTGTGTACTTATTGTATGTACGTGCATTTTTTTTTATGAAGTTCCCAGCTTGCCATTAAGCTAGATCCTCCATTTTTTTTATTGCTGCTAAACGGTTTGACCACTAAAATTCGGAATAGGATACTAAATTAGCACCTAAAATTTTACTTTATCTTCAAAGCATACCTTCGATATTAATCATTCTTGCATGAAACATATAGTTCGAGACCTACGTTATAAATTGTCTTCGTATAATATGTATTTCGAAAATTATCGCATTAATGAGAGACTTAGAAGATAGTTTCTAAATTATACAGAGTAGAGGTAACATTAGCGGAAATCCTGAAAAATCTTGAAACATACACATTTTACAGAAAAGTGCTTTTCAAGTTGCAGGGTTTAAAATGACTTGTGTATTGATATCATCAGTTTGACTTTACGTTACGAGATATTTAATATTCCGTATTACAGGTATTACGATACATTTTTAAATATCTCAGAAGTTTTTAAACCAAGATGATATTTATTACACATCTAGAAGACGTGCGTCCCCCTTTGGCAGTGGGGGAGGGGAGAGGTGAGAATTACTTCAAACGAAATGCTAAAAAAATTATAATATTTGTTACCTTAATAACTTATTTTAAAACAGGGAATTCTTGTATTATATAGTTGAACTTTTTTTGTTTATAACGTTTTAACGAATAACGAGCGACGGCTGAAACCTGTTAGAGGTATATATAACTCAAAGAATATATACTCATGTAGTATAAATATAAAAAAGTGACGTACACTACTGTCGCTTATACTCTTACATATGTTACGTATATATATATATATACGTATATACAGGGTGTAACTAAAAAAAGGTACATGGAGCATATCATGAGATACAGGACAAGGATCTAAGTAGAAAAGTCCTGAGTCATTTTTTGATCGGAGCTTTTGGATCGTTGTTATACGATGTTAAAGTTAGCGAATTAGCTCCTGAGTATAGAAGGAATACTGAGACGTGGCAGGCGGAGTGGAGTTGACGAATTCGAGGCGGAAGAAGAACGACGGTGAGCAACGAAGCGGTTGTAATTATCAATTTCTCTCTCTCTCTCTCTCCTCTCTCCCTTCCTCTCTCTACACCTTGTTTAAAGAAATGAAGATAAGAAAGTGCAGAGCTAAAATTAATGATTTGGTGTTTTCGTAATAAATTATCGATTTAGAGTGAACTAATCGGTTACTTACTTTATTAAAATTATAATAAGTGTACTTCATTAAAATTATAATAACATGTATCGAAGTGACCTCCTCCTACTTCGATACATCTTCGATACATGTTCGATACATGTTCGATACATGTTCATGTAGAGAGAGGAAGCGAGAGAGGAGAGAGAGAGAGAGAAAGAGAGAGAAATTGATAATTACAACCGCTTCGTTGCTCACCGTCGTTCTTCTCCCGCCTCGAATTCGTCAACTCTACTCCGCCTTGCCACGACCAAGTATTCCTTCTATACTTTGGCGCTAATTCGCTAACTTTAACATCGTATAACAACGAATCGAAAGCTCCGATCAAAAAATGACTCAGGACTTTTCTACTTAGATTCTTGTCCTGTATCTCATGGTATGCTCCATGTACCTTTTTTTAGTTACACCCTGTATACGAATTATATACATTTTGAATAATTTATGGAAGCGTGTTACTCTCTCGGCTTCAGGAAGTATGCTTTTTTATTGTCTTTTTTATGATTTTTTTTCTGGAAAGAGTATAAGAATCGAGTTTTTGTAAATGAAAGTACATATTTATTATTATTATTCACATTTCATTATTTTAAGTTTCACCTGAAAGCATGTATCTATCCCCCTCCCCCATAGGCCATTGTCCTGAACTCTGCACAGCATGCAGCTTTTCGCGATAACAGAAATATTAACAATTTGGTTTATTTGAAACAAAAGTTCAAAAAAGGTCTTGAAGTGTATAAAAAATTATAGTCTTTATTAGAAGCGATTTAAAAATTCTTCATTTTTAACAAAATGGCGGCTTTTCAAATAATTTTCTATGTTTAAAAGTCAGTAATTTTAAATATCAAAAATTTAAAAATCGTATCGATAGAGACTACAATTTCTTAATCACTTTAAGTTCTTTTTCAATTCTTTGTTTTAGATAAATCAGATCGGAAATTTTTCTGGTACTACGAAACGCTGCATACCATGCAGAGTATAGGACGAAGGGCTGTGGAGGAAATATTTTTCAAACGTGAAATTAAAAATTGTAATTAATAATCAAAAATATGTAATACTATTTACAAGAAATAAGATTCTTATAGCGTGTATATTCTTCATTTTAAAAATTATGAGAAATGTATACTTTTTAAAGCCGAAAAATATGCGCTTGTAAGGACAGTTACGTCGCAGATTTTCTGTATAACTTTAATTAAAAAATAATATTGAAAATAGTCAT